AATATCCATACACCTGCAAGGAAGACCAGTTAATACTACTATTATTCAAATTTATGTACCAACTACCAAAACCAAAGATGAGAAAATTGAAGATTTTTAACAACTTGTGCAGTCTGACATTGACCAAACATGAAACCAAGATGTGTTGATTATTACTGGTGACTGGAATTCAAAAGTTGGAAACAAAGAGTCACCAGTAGTTGGAAAATATGGCCTTGGTGATAGAAATAACACTGGTGATCACATGACAGAATTTTGCAAGACCAATGACATTCATTGCAAATACCTTTTTCAACAACATAAATTATGGTTATACATGTAGACTTTGCCAGATGGAACATGCAGGAATCAGATTGACTACATCTATGGCAAGAGATGATGAAGAAGTTCAATATCTTTGGCCAAAAAAGGCCAAGAACTGACTGTGGAGCAGACCATCGACTGCTCATATGCTAGTTCAACTAGAAGTTGAAGACAATTAAAAAAGTCTCTGAGAGTTAAAACATGACCTTGATTGTATCCCTCCTGAATTTAGAGACCATCTAAAGAATAGATTTGATGCATTGAACACTGATGACTGAAAACCAGAGGAACTGTGGGATGACATCAAGAACATCATCCATGAAGAAAGCAGAAGGTCATTAAAAAGATGAGAAAGGAAGAAAAGACCAAAATGGATGTCAGAAGATATTCTGAAACTTGCCCTTGAGTGGAGAGTAGCTAAATCAAATGGAAGAAATGATGAGATAAAAAAGCAGAAGAGAAGATTTCAAAGAGCAGCTGGAGAAGACACAGCCAATATTATAATGAAATGTGCAAGGACCTGGAGTTAGAAAACCACCAGGGAAGAAAACAACATTCTACACAGCTGCATTCTATAAAGTATTATGCTGAATTATAAGTTCTATTTTTTTTTTTTTACAGTAAATAAGTTCCCATAGAGAACATTCAAGATGAGCCAATCCCATTTCAAATCTCCAAAGGCCGAGTTTAACATAGTATAAAAAAAAAAGCTTTCTAATAAATGTTAAGTGCCGTCGAGTCATTTCTGACTCATAGCAATCCCATGAACAGCAGAACGAAACACCACCTGATCCCGCGCCAGCTCTATGATCCCCACTATACTTGAGCCCATTGTCACAGCCACCGTGTCAAACCATCTCGTTGAAGGCCTTCCCCTCTTTCATCGACCCTCCACTTTACCAAGCATGATATCCTCCTCCAGGGAATGGTCCCTTCTGACAACATGACCAAAGTAGGTGAGACAAAGTCTGGCCATTCTTGCTTCCAAGAGCATTTCAGCTGCACTTCCTCAGGGACAGATCTGTTAGTTCTTTTAGCAGTCCATGGCACCCTCAACAGTCTTTGCCTGTACCACAACTCAAAAACATCAACTCTTCTTCAGTCTTCCCTATTCATTGTCCAGCTCTCACATGCATACAAGGTGATTTAAAATATCATGGCTTGTGTCAGGCACACTCTAATAAATAGAGACATTGAAAATGAAATGTCCCTATTAAAGGTTGTGGTGTGGTAAATTAACTGATATGGCTTTTCTAGCCATAAGTCTTTGTAAACTCCATTGTGGAATTTGTTGTGAACAACTGAGGAGCTCCTGATTGTAAATGTTATCCACATAGGGTATTTCTGTTGGGCGTGGCACAAAACAATGTTCTGGAACAATGTTTGCTCTCTCTCAGATGCTTAGTATTCTGATGTTATGATTGGCTAGTTTGGCCACTCTGCCAGGCTCAAAAGGAGACCTCCTAGAGGCAGAAGGTTCTCTGAATACTGGGTGAGAAAGACATACTGCTGAGAAGGGACACACTCCTGAGAGACATGTGCTGCTGGGAAAGAGACACAAGAGACATGCATTGCTGAGAGAGACACTGAGGGACACGCACTGCTGGGAGAGAGACTGTGAGAGACTGTTGGGTGAGAGACGGTGGGCTGAGAGAGACTGAGCATTTTTCCTGAACTTGAATTGTAATCTGGTGCTTCCCTAATAAACCCCATAATCTGTGAGTTCTGTGTGGCCACTGCAATGAATTATTGGACCCAGGAAAGAGGTGGTGGGTGCTTTGGGAGGAACGATTGGTGAAAGGACTGGAGGGAGGCAGCATGTCTGGCCTTGCACAAATAGGCCTTGGGCTACTGATAGTGATTCTGTCTTCCTCTTGTGCTGTTAGAGGAGGTCAGAAGATGTGGCCTCCTTGCCCCTTTAGCAAAGGTAAAATAAGGTTATATTTGGTTGGAAGTTAGGTACTAGAGTCAGGATAAAAAATAAGAATTTATAATGATCAAAATAATTATTGAAAATTTCTTAAATACCAAAGTTATAGTAACTATGGGTTTGTTTATATGTATACAATGCTCTCTTTTAATGAATCAAAAAGACTGGAAGAGATCCATATTTGTGTCCATTCCAAAGAAAATGATCCAACAGAATGCAGAAATTACTGAACATAGCATAGGAGCTCTGTGACACTGTGGTGAATGCATTGGGCTGCTAACCAGAAGGCAGGTGGTCCAAACCCACCAGCTACTCCATGGGAGAAAGATGAGGCAATCTACTTCCATAAAGATTTACAACCTTGAGAACCTGATGGGGCTCACTATAAGTTAGAATTAACTAGGTGGCAATGGGTAGGACTTGCAAAGAGATCCATCTACTTAAGGGTTAGATCAGTCAGATCAGTAACAAATGTTGTTGAAATGTACAGTCAGGTAAGCAGAGTATGACACACAGAGTGTTGGGGACTAATAGCAAATAATAGATCAGGCAAGAGGCTATTAGACTTGTCAAGGGATAGTAAGTAGGATCTCTGATAAGCATGGAGAAACTCTGTCACTAAAAACCTAGAAACCAGCAAAAATTACAACAGAAATGAGTTTCACTTCAATAATTCTGATTCTGTAATTCCCACCTAGAGTGGATAACACTACAGTAAATGGGTAGCCAAGCTCATATTTTGGTTTCCTAGTTGGTACAACATAAGTTCACCAGTTGAGATATTTTAGACTTGAAACTCTAGACTAGAGTTGAATGAGGAGACACAGTGGCTTAATGCTGAGTAACCTAAACTCCTTTAATCCACATATCCAGGGCCAGAATTGCCAAGAGATTGTTGAGCCTTCAAAAAGGAGGTAAGTAGCCCAGCCAATATGGGAGAAAAGACTATGCAGCAGGAAATAAGACAGGTTCCAACATGTCTGATATTGGGGAAAAACAAATGGGAACAAAATATGAATGAGCTTGCCCACCACTTGCTATTATGCTACTCTCTCTAGGTGGATGTTATAAATCAGTTTTTGAATTGAACGTTTAAAGATTACAAAGTGCAACCAACATGGCCATCTAAGATGCAACTTTTGGCTTCTCCTCGTCTGGAGCAAAGAAGAGTGAAGAAAATCAAAGACTAAAGGAAACAATTAGTTCAAAGGACTAATGGACCATATGAACTACAGCCTCCACTACTCTAGGAATAGAAGAAATAGATGCCGTTGGCTACCATTACTGACTGCTTTGATCAGGATCCAAACAGAAAGTCCTTGAAAGAAAGAGAAGGAAAAAAAAAATGATAGACCAGATTTTTTTCTCTGATAGAGATTGATGAAATCCTCAAGATTGTGGCTCTTAGACACACATCAAGCTTGAAACTGAACCTATCCCCCAGGGACTTTGCAATGTTCAGTCAAACGCTAGACAGGCCTATAAAGTGAATAATAATAATAATTATGAGAATGAATAATAATACAGAGAGGTATGTAACCTCAAAATAATCAACCACATTATTGTTGTTGTTAGGTGCCATTGAGTCAGCTCTTACATTCCATGTTCTGCTTATTAATAAATGTTTGCAGGTGTTTCTTCTCATTTTGAATCTTGTCACATCAGCAACTGAAGGTCACTAAAGTTTGACTCCATCCACACCACTAAGGTCAATTATACTTTAAGGAGGCAACTCTTCACCACTCACATTTTCAGTGACTTCCAACCTGAGGAGCTCATCTTCCGGCATTATGGATAACATAAAGTTTCACTGCTATCCGTTTCATAAAGTTTTCCAGTATATTAGACAAGCTTTCACTACTATTCATAAGGTTTTTTGTGGTCAATTTTTCAGAAGTGGATGGCCCTGTTCTTCTTCCCAGTCTGTCTTAGTCTGGAAGCTCTGCTGAAACCTATCCACCATGGGTGACCCTGCTGGTGTTTGAAAAACAGGTGGCTTAGTTTCCAGCATCACAGCAACATGCAAGCCACCACAGTACAATACACTGACAGATAAGCAGTGAAGACTACTGCGCACAGGATACAAGCTGTGGTGTTTTGAATCGACACATATGCATGTGAAAGCTGGAGAATGAATAGGGAAGACTGAAGAAGAATTGATACATTTGAATTGTGTTGGTGAAGAATATTGAAAGCACCATAGAGTGCCAGAAGAACAAACAAATCTGTCTATAAAATTAGAAAGTTCCTCCACTACAACGATGAGGAGAAACAGCTTACCTCTCCTTCACTGACACTCGATTCTCTTTGTCCGTCTTACAGATGTCAGGATTTGGAATTTGGAAGGTATCCCTGCAACCAGCATCATCTTTTTTATGTGACAGGAAGCACTTGTGCCTTGCTGTGTTATTTTTACCACAACAGTAAGAAAACCCATATTTGTCAACCATTCCTCGGTTGTTACAAACATGTTCTAGGAAGGTAATCATCTATAGAAGAAAAAGATAACTTAAAGGGGAAGTGTTTGCAGTCAATATTCCTTACCATAGGAAAGTTAAGGCAACTGATTACACACTGCTAACTTTCACATCCAGTAATCTCTAGACATAGGTCTTGAGCAAATGGCTTTTAAGTTTTCATTCCAAATCCCCACATCATAGACCTTGACTAAAGAGTATTTGTCATTCTTCTTGTCTCTCACCTAATTACTTTATTTCCATATAGATAAGAATTATAAAAATAAATATGACCCAGAATGTCCAGGGCTTAAAGAAATCAAGGCATTTGTAATGGCAATTATCCACTAAGAAATAGATGGTAATCTGTTTTCCTTTTTCCTAATTGTTTTTTGCTTGGTTTCCATGGGAGTTTATTTTAAGAATTGAACTCTGAAGCAAAGTACATTCAGTGTCAAATATCCAAATGGAAAAGTAATAATTCGGTTTCAAGTACTTTTCAAAGGCAATTAATATTTGGAACACTAGAAACCCCAAATGACATTTATTTCCAGATCTGGAAGATAAGAGCAGAGACAAGTCATCTTCTGAAAAGGAAACTAGTAAGAATCACTTCAAAATAAGTGAGATCAGCCATTGGTGGAAGGGCTTCTCTTTAGAAAAATGTGTATCTAACGAGATTGATGATTTTTCTGTATCTATTCAGAGTCTAGTCAAAGTTACCCTTTAGTCTCAGGAAGATGGAGTACAACATCTACAAATAAAGAAGAAAACTACTTGGTATTTTAAATTATTTGGCATGAAAATAATCAGTCTAAAAAGTATGTAAATGTAAGAACATATTAATTAGTGTTTATCAAGCATTTTCCAAGAAAAACAATGTTATTATTGAATTTTCTAATCATAAGATAGAATAACTTCATGAGATAATAATAATTTGTCATGATTTTCTACTCACTGGGAAAGAGCCCATAACAACATTCACTTTTCACTCTCTCTTTCTCTTCATATTCTTTAAGAAAATGTTTTTTTTGATGTGTAGTTCCATTTCCCTGGAACTTTTTAGTGAGAATGTCAGACAATAGTATTCTAGTGACAGAGACAGAGAGATCAATTTAAATGAAAAAAATGATATTCCAGATTATAATTCATTCTGTTGAATGTTTGGATCTCAGAGCCTGATCTCTCAGAAATGATCTGATACAGTGTAGGTTTACAAACCTACAAAGATTGTATCTTGGGTGTTGCCTTTGAACTCTAATTATTCAACAAGCCCCTTCATAACAACATCTCTGACTGTAATTTAGTTTGACAAAGAGAAAAAGGCAGAATGTGATCCACCTACCAATTGGTGAGAGCATTCTGAAGGTGGCTCATGTGACTTGAGGCCATTGCACTTCTCTGCAAGATCTAGCAGCTCTTTAACCATGGTTTGCACTTCTTCATAAGTTGCTTTCTGAAGAAACTGGGCAACCATAATACTGGTCCTGAAGCATAACAACTGGGAGAATTAACTATAGAATCAAATCATTTTTCTCCTTCATGTTTTGTTTGTGTCACTGCCCTGTCTCTTCTCCCACCCCCAAATCCTCTATAACTCATTAGTCTGATTTCAATTGTCAGATAAAAGAACATTGGTAATAAAACTCACATGTCTCTTAAGTTCTTCTCCAAATAATTCTGGCTGTAAAGGTGCTGCATGGCTGAAAATAAAAGAGGCTTTATTTGCACAACAGGAAATTTTCCAAATTGAAATCTCACTTTATAACTCTGAATTTGGTATTTAATCACTTAAAAATTTCTATATCTATTTTTATTCACCACAAATTAATCAGAAAAAGTTATTAGAATGCAAACTGTATGCAAACTGTATTCACTAGTATGCAAACTGTATTCTGTAAGTGATATATTTATACTCAAATACATTCTGTTGCTGAAATCTATCATTGGTCAAGAAGAGCTATACATATTTGTGTTGACACTTTTAAATTAATTAAACTTGATAATTTGGTTATTTGTTACTGTAATTTTTAGTTGGTGTTGAGTCAATTCCAACTCATGGCAACCCACTCTGTATATAGTACAATTGCTCCATAGGGCTGTGCCCTTTCAAAAGAAAATTGCCAGACCTATTTTTGGAGATACCTCTGGGTAGGTTCCATCTACCAATCTTTCAGCTTAATTGCTTTGAGTGCTTAATTTTGAGCACTTAATCTTTGAGTGCTTAATTGCTGGCACGATCCAGAGACTCTAGCTATTAGCACATAAAAGAAATATTAAAGAAACAAAAGTTTACTATTGGGAACAAAAGCATAAATATTAACACTCTCTCCCACACTTCATTTGGCAAAGACAATATCTCACACATCTTTGTTTGCTCATCATCTCTACCTTCTTTACCATCCCCACTCACCACTGACATATTGGCACAATGATCACAATCCTTAGATAGAGCCATATCTTCCTTTTTATACTATCAGCCTGTAACAAGCTTAGAGACTATCTATTTAATAAAGAAACCATTATTATCATCTATATTAATGTAGGGAAAAGAGCCTTGGCTTAGGAGATAGCTGTTGTGAGTTTGTTTCCAGCTCTGGTTCTATACGTGACCATGGGAGAGTAACTAAGCCTCTCAAGTTTATGTTTCTATAGGTAAAATGAAATAAATTCTAACACATTGGATGGTGGCTTGGATTAAATGAAAGCATCTTTTGTAGATCTGCGTACAGTGCCTGGCACATGTAGGGAATGAGTAATGTAGCTCATAATATTATTCACACTGTTGCTATGTATCCAATTTTGAATACAAGTTTGAAATTTAATATTCCCAAAACTAAAGTGGAAGTAATTCAACAAATCCTAAAGATATTTATGTGTTACTCTCTTTCTGTATTGCTCCCACAAGTTAATTTCTGGTGACTGGCAATGACAGTATTGACAGTGGTGACTGCTGAGGAAGATAAGCCTGTCATGTGCATTTTAGCAGTGATCATGTCTTATCTCCTGGCACATGGGATTCATAGATTATAAGTAGCAGTGATTCCCTACCTGCATCCTGTAAACTTCTCTGAAGAGTGTGACATTTAATGTAGATTAAGAAAATAAGAAAAGATACGGTTCTCAAAGTCTTCATTATTCCAGATGAACATTTACAAAAGATGTTCAGTCTTTTAGGAGAAATGAACAATCCCTTTATATCCTTTACAGCTAATTGCCATTAACAATTAACCTTTCTCTGGTGAATATTTTTTCCAGGCCACAGTGACCCTGATAACATTGAGAAATTCATGATAATGAAAAAAAAAATTTGGTAATGGTATTCATTAATGGATATTGGATTTAAAACAAGCCATGTCACTCTAGTTGTTCTTTCAAGATTACAACATACATGCCTTGTAATAATCAATAAACGCTTTGGGTAAATATTGGTCTGCAATATCTCATTTCCTGGAAAAGTTTGTTGATATGTACAAAGTTCTGAAAGTGGTAGGGGAGATGGTAAATATTTACTATGACAGACTCAGATAAATGGACAAGGCCCAGGGTCCAGCACTAGTCATATTTTCAAGGCCCTGGAGAGTGTAGGGAGTTAAACTAAAAAAAAAAAAAATAAAAAAAAGGAGGGGGGGACTTAATTTACTGAGTGCTTACTATGATCTGGAACTTTATAGACTTTCAGGTAGAGAGTAATATTCTGATTTCTTGAATAAGAAATTAAGATCCAGGGTTGTGCAATTTGTTCTTAGTTTTGCAAGTAGAAATTCAGATCTGTTTAACTTCAACAGCCTATATTGCCCAAGAGCTAGCACTGAAAAATGAGATCCCTTAAAGACCTATTGCTTAATGAAAGATACCAGTTTTAAAAAGCTACATGCTGGATGACTCCAAATACATGACATTCTGAAAAAGACAAAACTATAGAAATAGTGAAAAGATCAGTGGCTTTCAGAGGTTCTGAGGGAGAGGAGAAGGGATGAATAGTGGAACGCAGGACCTTTTTGGGGCAATAAAACTATTCTGTGTGATACTGCAATGGTAGACACATAACATTACATGTTTCTCAAAACCCATAAGACTGTTCACAGTGAACCTTAATGTAAACTATGGATTTCAATATTGGTTTATCTATTGTAACTAATGTAGCATGAGTAATGCAAAATATTAGTAATAAAATAAACAGTGTATAGTTGGGAGCTCTGATAGCATAATCTCTAAAGCACTTGACTGCTAATCAGAAGGCTGGCAGTTCAAACCCACCAGCCACTCCTTGGAAGGAAGATGGGGCAATCTACTTCTGTAGAGATACTACCTCTGAAACCCAAAGAGGGGTCGCTATGAGTCAGGTCTGACTCGATGGCACATAAAAACAACAGTGGGGAGAAGGGACATTTTGAAATTATCTGTATTTTCTGCACAATTTTTCTGTTAGCTAAAATTACTCTAAAAAATAAAATCCATTTTAAAAAGTAAATAAATAAGGTCTTGATATTCCTCAGCAGTTGTTTGCATTGCTTAAAATCTAGTTCTTGGAGTTAGAGCAAGTAATGAGCAATTACTGATTAAAAAAAATTCCAAGATTCATGTAAATTCAAAAATTTTGAAATGGATAATCCCTGGTTATAATCCTTCATAAAATGGAGGGTTTGAACAAAATACTGGATACTGCTACCCACATATTCTTGCTTCTAGCTTTGTAAGCAAGGAAATATAACAAATGAGAGGCATATATTTGCCTGAATAATAAAAAATAATATTAATTAGATTTGGGTCACATCAGCTCGTACGAATGAATATGGGTGGCCCAGTGTGATGGAGTTTCACTGGCCAATTCTTTGAGAAGTAGATGGTCCTTCCCTTCTTCCAAGTCTGTCTTGGTCTGGAAGCTCCACTGAAACTTGTCCACCATGGGTGACCCTGCAGGTATTTGAAATACCAGCCTCACAGCAACACACAAGCCACCACAGTATGACAAACTGACAGACAAGTGGTGGCTCAAAAAAGAAAACAAAAATCCTCACAACTGGACCAATAAGTAGCATCATGATAAATGGAGAAAAGATTGACGTTGTCAAAGACTTCATATTACTTGGTTCCACAATCAACACCAATGGAAACGCAGTCGAGAAATCAGACAATGTATTGTACTAGGCAAATCTACTGCAAAAGACCTCTTTAAAGTGCTGAAGAGCAAGGATATTTCTTTGAAGACTAAGGTGTGCCTAACCCAAGCCATGGTATTTTCAATCTCCTCATATGCATGCCGAAGCTGGACAATTAATAAGGAAGACTGAAGAAGAGTTGATTCTTTTGAGTTGTGGTGTTGGTGAAGACTACTGAAGGTACCATGGACTTCATCTTGGATGAAGTACAATCAGAATGCTTCTTGGAAACAAGAATGGCCAGACTTCATGAGATAGCTGGGAAGTAACACCACCAACTAGTTCATTTAGGTCATTTTTGATGATGATAAAAGATGTCCCAATTGGAGGGGTGAGCTAGTAGAGTAGAATAGACAATGCTAGGACTATTAGGACATCCCCAGTTCATCTACCTGTCCATTTATAAGGTAAATAAGGCCAGCCATTATTTCCATATGCCCAAAGCCATCTCCATGGAGATGGGAAGGCCCCCTACTCTATTGTTATTTTGATTTCTCTGACACATGGTATCATTTATTAAGATGATCTGATTACAAAAGTATTGAAGCAGCTACCTTAAGTTTTGCTATTATTAATAGTATGCCTTTCAACATACCAGGAGGCAATCATATTTACTTGTATAGCCTAGGTGTTAAGCCACCTAACCCATTGCACATAACGGCATAACATATGGCATAACACAAAGAGTGAGTAACATTAACCTGTTCCCTAACTAAAGCAAAAACTTTGTCCCTAGTGTAACTCCAAGAGGTGATGGGCATGGTGCACTGTGAAAAGAAGGGGAAAGAGGAAGGGTTCATTGCTCATTCACTTCTCCACACATTAAGGCAGCACCATAGAGTATCATTGGCAGGGAGCAGCTTCCATGGCTGTCTGGTATTAGATGATATTGGCATTTCTCTGCATACCCTGCAGCTGAACTCATTCTGGACTTCTGCCTTTGTAATTGCCCAGTTGGCAAACAGGTTGCCAGCAGTCCTTAAGGATGATAAGACAACTGTAAATTAACAAAAATAACTAAATCATGTTGGTCTAATAAAACACAGGTGGTGTTAGAAGTGCCAGTTAAGATGACCCCTGGTCAGGGCTTCTGCTCTGCCTTGCAATACTGTACTCTTTCCTCCTGGGGATCTTTAACTCTAGGCAAACTTGTATAGTCTAGCATGGGTATGGGGAAAGTCCACAAACTTATAAAATATGTTCCTTTCTTTAAAAATTTGCCATGATTAGCAATATTAAGTACAGTTGGGGGGTTGGGATGAAAGAAAGGAGTTATAAGCAAGGAAGACTCTAAGCCTTCACCCCAAGGGGAAGGAATCCCAAACCACCATGGGCCTACTTGCCATTTCCAGGGGAGTTTAAATACATAATTTCCTGTGTCTAGATCCTGTGAAAAGGCAAAAGGTTATTTTCATGAGCTACTGCAAGCAACAGAGCAGTGTCTTCAGTGGCTTTCACTTGGATTTGCATGGTCTGTAGGGGTCCTTGGGTCAGCATATGATAGGCACTTGAACGTTGTTGTCAGTGATATTCATTAATATATATCAGAGCATCTGGAAGGCATTTAGTCCACTGTTGCAAGGAGTGAGTCTCTCCTCTAAAGGTCTGTTTCAAGAGGCCATCCATGCTCTCTATGAGTCAGCAGCAATAGGGTTGCATGGCAGGTGAAAATGCCAAATAACATCATTGGCATCTGCCCAATTTTGTGCTTCATGGCTGGTTAAATGGCTTCCTTGGTTGCTGTCAATGTCCATGGGAGAATCATAAGTAGTGCACAACCAGGCAAGACCTCAGGTGCTGGATCGCTGTGTTGCCCATTTACAGGGATATGCTTGCAAAAGTTTAGTAGCAGTGTCAGCACAAGTCAGGGCAAAACGGCAATTGTCAAATGGAGGGAGGGGTCCCATATAGTCAATTTGCCACCTCTGAGTAGGTGACACTCCATGGAGAATGCAGACTGTCACTCATGGGATTGGTCTCTCTTTCTAAAGTACAGGGTCTGCAATCATTGCAGGATTCTTTAATTTAAGACATGGTGACCAGTTCGTTTCTCCTTTTAGCAATAGTCCATAAAGTCCTATGTCCTTTATGCCCAGTCTTGCAATGTAACCATCAGGCAATCTCAGTGCCAGGGAGTCTAGTGGTGAGCACACAGAGCTGCACCAGCTCATCTGCTTGAGTATTGCCTGATGGGGTCAGAGGGCTATGGGCCTTGAGATGTGGTGTACAGTGATATCCATTCCCACAGCACAAGCCCATATTTTGGCCCAAAGTTGCTTGCCCCATCCAGTGGCCATCCAGCAATCATACAGTCCTTGTCCTGCCAGTCCATCATCCACAAAGTCAAGCCTTTATATGAAGACCAGCTGTCTGTACAGAGCACAGTTGGGTTGTCCTCATGCATAAGCACTGTGCAGGCTGCCAAGAGCTTGGCCCACTGGCTGCTCTGCCCTTTACCTTGATCTATCCATATGGTTTCTGTGAATAGCTGTGTGGCAGTAGCCATCCAGTTGGGAGGGTTTCCTCTGGCAGAGCCATCTGTGTACAAGGCAGCCTCAGGAGTGGGCTCAGTGCTGGTCTTAATATGGCTTACAGTGATGGCTGGAATTCCTTTCACCCAGGGGACATCTTTGTTGATGTATGTTATGGACCTTAATATCTGATGCAGCTCAATGCTTAGAGGGTGCTTCACTGTTGCAAGTATGCATGCCACTTAGGGAGTACCCCAGCTTAGGCCAGCCCCAATTGTGGTTTACTGAATTCTTTTCCCCATCTAGTGATAAGGTATTGGGTTTTTACTGTTGTTGGGGCTCCTTTGGTGATATCCTCTACATGCTGCAAGCTCCAATATACAGCACACAGCTGCTGTTCCATTGGGCTATATTGTTGTTCAGCCCCTTTCCATAACTGCAACCAGAATCCAAGGGAATTCTGTCTATCCAGGTTGTTAATGAGTCTTTCTCCAATCCCGATA